AAAGGTTTCCATCACTGCTCTCTACCACTTCAGACAAATGGTTATCCAACATCTTCTTAAAAACTTCCAGTGTTGGAGCATTTACAACTGCAGGAGGCAAGTTGTTCTACTGAGTAATTGTTCTAACTGTTAGGAAATTTCTTTTTAGTCCCAGGTTGCTTCTCTCCTTGATTAGTTTCCACCCATTGCTTCTTGTCCTGGCCTCAGGTGCCTTGGAGAATAGCTTAACCCTCAGATATTGGAATCCTGATATCATGTCACCCCTAGTGCTTTTTTTCATTAAATTAGATTTTCATTAAAAGTTTCCTGTGTTGTAATTCTTGTTTTTGTTTTCGTAACTAGTCCACTTTGAGAACAGGAACATAAATATTCTCTTTGATTACAGATTAAAGTGAAGGCTTCGTCGATGAGTTTCCTTCCTCTGTGCAGAGATGACAGTGAATGCTGCCTCCTGGTACTCACTGACCCCCAAGATAAGAACAAAGGTTAGTAAATAGATTGCTTCTCCCCCCCCCCCAATCCTCTCTTTTATTTCAGCATGGCTCTGAATGATCAGATGCACAAAACAGAATTTGACACCTGGGATGTGGGCATATGGAAAAGCATTTGGGAATTCTGTGCCAGCTACTCTGGGCACAGAGGAAGGGTGGGAGAGGAATAGAACTTGGCTTCTAAATGGAAAACACTGCGAGGAGTGACTTCCCTGAGAACCTGTCTGCTCTTCTCATCAAAATGACATTTTGAGTACTCCACAGGAATTTTTGTGACCAAATAGCAAATAGATCTTGCAACAAAATGTTGTGGCATCAGCATTCTAAATTCAGATTTCAGAGATGAAAACAGAACAAAGAACGGTTGTAGCAACTGAGTATGGCTAGTCTAGAGAGAAGAAGGACTAGGGGTGGGGGGTGACATGATTCCAGTATTTGAGGGGCTGCCACGAAGAAGAAGGGGTCAACCTATTATCTAAAGCACCTGAAGGCAGGAGAAGGAGCAATGGATGGAAAATAATCCATCCAGGAGAAGCAACCTAGAACTAAGGAGAAATTTCCTGACAGTTAGAACAATTAATCAGTGGAACTACTTGCCTTCAGAAGTTGTGAATGTTGCTCCAACACTGGAAGTTTCTAAGAAGAGGTTGGATAACCATTTGTCTGAAATGGTAGAGAGCAGTGATGGAAACCTTTTTGGGCACCGAATGCCAAAATGGAAGCGTGCACACTCGTCACAACCAAGAAGAGGAGCTGCCCAGGTGGCATGTGCGCTCCGAAAAATGAACTTCTGGTTTCCAGCACATGCAAGCGCACCAGCCAGCTAGGCTTCCGGTTACTGGTGCGTATGCACATGTGACCAGCAGCTAGCCAGTGCACATGCTCGCACTGGAAAACGGAAGACCAGATCTTCCAGTTTCCGGCACTGCCCCATGCACAAAGGCCAGCCGATCATCTCACGGGTGTGCAAGCCAGAAACCCAGAAGAGGAATAGGTGACACCGCTTGTGCCAGGTGTCATGGCTCTGCGTGCCACTTTGGGCACGCCTGCCATAGGTTCACCATCACGGGTTTAGAGTCTCCTGCTTGAGCCAGGGGGTTGAACTAGAAGACCTCCAACTTCCCTTCCAGCCCTATTCTGGTTGATTCAATAATCCCCTCTACGATTAAGAATACTATTTGTGAGGATGTGGTTTCGTATCTTCCTTGCCGTCGTAATGAACTTCGGTGGTGCAGTGGTTAGAGTGCAGTACTGCAGGCTATTTCTACTAAGTGCTGGCTGCCTGCAATTTGACAGTTCAAATCCCACCAGGCTCAAGTCTGACTCAGCCTCCCATCCTTCCAAGGTCGGTAAAATGAGATTGTTGGAAGCAATATGCTGACTCTCTAAACCACTTGGAGAGGGCTGTAAAGCACTGTGAAGTGGGATATAAGTCTAAGTGCCATTGCTATTGCTATTGCGAACAAAGTAGCTTGTTTCCATACGCAGTTGTCTTCATCAGACCACAAAAACTAGATATTTTTTATTCTAGGCTAGATAATAGTGCCAGCGTCGCAGCGTTTCAAGAGAAATGACTTTCTTTTTCTGCCTGAGAATTTGTAAGTAGCGGAAGGAAGCCAAGAGAACATTGCAGCCTTGGTATTTTATCTTACAGTTTTTACGTGTACTTTTGAATTTTAATGTGTAACCCAATGTATAATGTCCTCTTCATCTCTGAGTCTCTAACTGTTCTCAGTCATGATTTGCCGGTTTTAATTTTGGGAACGGAGCGAGCCTTTCTTCATTGATTTTATTATCTCCCCGAGTCGAAATGTTAAGATTAGCCATTTTTTCCTTTAGCCTGATTGTGATTGTAATATGGTAATGGCTTCGGACGGGGAAGAAAGGAACAGGCTGTGTCTTGAGTTCAGTCAGATATAAATAAGGGGGAAAAAACCTACGTTTTTAATACGGTGGTTAAAAAAAGTTTTTATACTTGTTTTCTGGAACACTGTGTATTATAATAACTTCCTCCTGAATTATGAAAGGTGTAGGATTTTACAGCCCATGTAACTGGTAATAAAAAGTACTCTTTCTATGCTGGTTTTATTTTTTAAATTTAATGGAGAATAAAGGCTAGATAGATTCTGTAAGATCAGTGGAAAAACAGATCCAGATTACGGGAAGGGTGTGGCTTCGATGTTGCTAAGAAAGTACTGGTTACCTACACAGAACGTGGAATCATAGGGCTGGAAGGGACCTTGGAGATCTTCTAGTCCAACCCCCTGTTCAGGGCAGGAGATTTATACCAGCTCAGACAAACGGTTGTCCAAGCTGTTTTTGAAAACCTCCAGTGATGGCGCACTCACAACTTTGGGAAGCAAGCTATTCCCTTGATTAATTGGTCTGGCTGACTGATTTAAAAGGGGGATCTGGAGGTTTAAAAAGGGAATCTAGTAGTTTAAAAGGGGAATCTGGTGGTTTAAAAAGGGAATCTGGAGGTTTAAAAATGGAATGGTGGTTCAAAAGGGGAATCTGGTGGTTTAAAAAGGGAATCTGGAGCTTTAAAAAGGGATCTGGTGGTTTAAAAGAGGAATCCGGTGGTTTAAAAGGGGAATCTGGTGGTTTAAAAAGGGATCTGGTGGTTTAAAAGGAATCTGAAGGTTTAAAGGGGGAATCTGGTGGTTTAAAAGGGGGATCTGGTGGTTTAAAAGGAGGATCTGGTGGTTTAAAAGGGGAATCCCATGGTTTAAAAGGGGAATCCCGTGGTTTAAAAATGGGAATCTGGTGGTTTAAAAGGGGATCTGGTGGTTTAAAAGGGGAATCTTGTTGTTTAAAAGGGGAATCTGGTGGCTGTATTGCAGCTTTTCCAGTCAACTTGATCAAGCTTTACTTGGTACAATATAATACAATATTTTGTAAGAAGAGTCTTGTGTACATGCAGAGAATAGGAGACTGACCTGGAAATATTCAAGAACTTGGACAGGTAGTTACATTATGATTGTAAATCTTAATGGCCATAAAACAGGTTAGTTGCGTGAACCACCTGATTTTACAATGTTTTATTACCAGTAGTCATTAAGTGAATCACCGTGGTTGTTAAGTGAATCTGTGGCTGTTGAGTGAATGCTGCAGTTGCTAAGCAAACCAATGGTTTGCGGTAAGTGTCATTTTTGAAAAACAAAACCAAAACCCCCAAACCCACATTTTGGCAAAGCCATCCTGAAACGAGGCCACGTAACTGCCGGATTCTGCACAAATCCTTTCCATTCCTCACCAGCTAGAACCGAAGAAGCTTCTTGGATGAGAAGTGAGCCGTCTTCCAAGAATAGAGCAGAATAAAATAGGATCTGGAGTAGAATATCAGAGTTGGAAGGGACCTAGGAGGTCTTCTAGTCCAACCCCCTGCTCAAGCAGGAAAACCATACCATTTCAGACAGGTGGCTGGCTGTCCAGTCTCTTCTTAAAAGCCTGCAGTGATGGAGCACCCACAGGTTCTTGTGGCAAGCTGCTCCACTGGTTAATTGTTCTCACTGTTAGGAAGTTTCTTCTTAATTCCAGATTGCTTCTCTCCTTGGTTAGTTTCCATCTGTTGCTTCTTCTCCTGCCTTCAGATGCTTTGGAGAATGGATTGACTATCTCTTCTTTGTGGCAGCCCCTCAAATACTGGACTACTGCTATCAGTGTTGCTTCTCTCCTTGGTTAGTCTCCATCCATTGTTTCTTGCCTTGCCTTTCGGTGCTTCGGAAAATAGCATGACTGTCAGCATTCCAAATAGCATCCAAAAGTAAATCAGAGTCGAAGGCAAAGTATTGCTCAAAGTTCCAATTTATTAAGAGAACCATGTTGGCACATCTAGGAGTACTCGAATCTGAAAGCTTCCTGGTTTTCCCCACCCAATTGAAAGTTCATGATCTTTCCCCCACACCCACATGTCCATCACATGGTCCAATCTCCCACTGCCATGCTGGCAGTTCCACTCATCCAGTTCCGGTCAGGTGCAGAGGTGCAAAGACAAAGGATGACCTTGGCTTTCTAGAAAGGAATTTTGTTATGGCTACATAGCATCTAACTCCGTACAATCCCCCCTCCCATTTTCCCACAATAGAAAATGTCTAGTAGAATAATAGAAAGTGTGGCAGGCCAAAGACCCAAAAGAAAAGATGGCTGCAGGCCTGACAATGACCCTCTCCTGTGTGTAGGAGCCCTTCAAAGACTGCTATCAGCTCTTCCCTGTTCCTTCTTTTCACTAGTCTAGACATAGCCAAGTCAATCAAGAAAGTTCAGTTGGCTTTTTTGAAAGCTATGAAAGCACCATGGACAAGCATGACTTGAGTGACAGAGAACCTTCATAGGCATGGAGCATCAAAGCATTCTGCATTCAGAATACTAGGAAGTGAAGAATATGCAGATCCAGTGCCGGGGGTCCATCACATTATAGTGAATGTAGCTGCTTGCACAGATGTGTAAGATCTTCCCTGTCTACTTATGCTTTAAGGAAAGGACATAGAAGAAGGTAGGAGCCAGTTACTACAGTGTGACAGTTGATATGCTAACTTCACTCGACTCTCTCTGAATTGTTGAATTGTTTAGATTTTCCATAGATGTGTGTAGGTGTCCTTGGCAAACAGGCTTAGTGCTAGGCCAGCCTGCTCCTCAATGCAAGCATTCTCACAAACATAAAGTAAGGGTAAATTTTCCCTGTCCATTAGTGTTGCAGCCTGTTGGCCACTGGCCCCTCCAGCAGCCGAATCAGAGGAGGAGGCGTGGGAGACAGGATCAGCATCAGGGCAACCTGGGAGCTCTGAGGGGGAAGAGGGGATGGAGCTGTCAGAGGGAGAGACAGAGGCGAAGCCTGGGCCGTCCATCACCCCTCAGATGGAGAGTCAACAGCCCCCAGGTCTGGAGGTGATTGATGAAGAAGAGGAGGAACAGCGGGGTCCAGTGCCTTATGTGGGGATCCGCAGAAGGCAGAGGAGAGGAGAGTAATGGAAATCTATGGGCTGGTCCTTGGG